TTAGACAAATTTTTTAATAAGTAGATGATTTTCAAACCACGAAAAAAAATTTGCTTGATTCATTTCTTTATGGTAGTCCAATATAGCCGATTTAGATGAAAATATAGCCTGTTTATCCTTAATGAAGCCATTTTCATTACCAGCATGAATATATTAACAAAATGTTTTCAATATGATTACGGTTATATATTATTATTATGGTAAATATAAATATATTACGGTTTTACATCAGTTTTAATAGATTTTACACATATTTTATTCTCATCATGCCATAAGTGACATATAGAACTATAGACCAAGTTTCATCTATAAAAACAAACTTATGTACAGTCATTCATCTACATAATTTTTTATATACTCTCAAAGATTCTGCTCTCTTATTCTTCTATTCTTAATAAATTATTTTGGCAGATTGTACAAATAATATTAAGATTACTTTTTAGTCTTCTTTTCATCATATTTTTATTAATCCTATTCCCGACGAATACTAATCCAAATACACAAAAATAATAATAAATAACATATTTACTAAATACTAAATTAAACTTTATAAAATACATTGATAGTAATGCGGAAGTTTCATTAATTTTGATTTAATTTGTTTGAAAATGAATCATGACGCACGAGCAAAGATAAAGTGGACGTACTTTATCTCTGGTGGAGGTTTGTTTTCTGGTGGCTTGACTGCACACAACACAGAAAACTTTTTTGAATTTTGTTTTCTGAAAAGATGGCCAAGTAATCTTTGTCGAATAAGGTATAGTTCGATGTTGTGAGGAAAAATTTTAGACTGCTGGTTAAGAATTTTATTTTATTTGAGCATTATTTTTTTACAAACAATTTAATTTTAACAATTTGTCTTAAAATAACTGAGATAAAAAAATACGTTGGAATTTGAGCGAATATGTACGTTAAATACGTGAAAAGAGTGTTGCGTTAGCTGGTGAAAAAAACACAATGTGTGCGATAACTAAAAGGCCCGGATATGGTTATATCATTATGCATTGAGAAGCACGAGATTAAGAAGTGCGATATGACTGTGTGTTGGCGGGCGGTTATACGAGCTTTTTATAAGACAATTTAAGCGAGAGGAAATTTTACGAATTTAATCGGTTTTTATACTTATAAATTTAAAAAACAATGAAATGTTTTATGACCGACTATTAAAAAATCGCTTTTAGTGAAAATATATATTTCTTCTTCTTCCTCTTTACCTTTATAAAAGGTTGTCACTTTATCTTTTGCGTGGTCTTGAAGTGACAATATAATAATAAAAACTGCAGGTGTACAGAAAGGTATGAATGGTTCAAATTGTTTTTATGACCATAAAAAAAGGTCTAACCTAGTTTTTATGCCACCTTATATTAGCGGCCTCGGTATTATGTAAATCATGTAGCTAAAAAGATTTGATTTATGAGGTAATAAATCGTTAAAATATGTTTAACGAAGTTCGAATCTTTTAAGTTGTAAGGGATGCTTTATATTAATGGTTTGTTTAAAATTTTTTTTAAATATTTAGCAGCTCTTCTACAATATTTGCGTAGTCAGTACCTACATTTGCTTGTAAAATTGATTGGGGTAGGTTAATATATCAGGCTATTACCCTGCATATTTCATTTAAGGCAATATCAACTTGTTTTGTGAAGACTAGATTGGTTGACGTGCAAGAGTACCCTTTTGCGAAAAACAGATTTCTAGTGAAGTTTTTCATGAGCCTGAGTTACTTTAAGTAACTTACTTGTAAATACTTTGTTAGAAAACAGTTCCTGGTGGCGAAATTTTGTATTTTGTAATATAACAAAGGTGTTCAAATGTTAAAAATCTGTCTAAAGTTACACTGAGATGTGCAGGTTTGTCTGTGTTTTGCAAGATCTTTTCCCTCCATATGTACTGCAGGTTTATCCCCGCATTTTGTGTATTTTGATAAAAGGCGGTTAATTAATTTTTCTGGGTTCTAAACCTTAAATATTAAACATTAAAACCATCGTAACTACTTACTCTCTCCAATCCAAAGTTGGCCAATCTCGTCAGATGCGTAAAAAAACCAAATCCCCAATGAAGACCATGGTGTCTACGAGCTACTTTGCTCCAGTTGTCCAAGAACATACATAGGATAGACAAACCTTGACAAATCCACAACCGTATTTAGGAACATGCTATATCTGTAACATCATACAACATCATATTTAGACAAGTCACAAAATAAATTTCGAAAGAGCAAAAACCATCTCTCCTATCTACTTCTTAAGATCGAGAATTATCCGTGAAGTCATTGAAATTAAAAAACGCCATAACAGATTAAACACGTCGATGACGTTAAAATACTGCTGGAAACATGCGACCGCTACTTCAGCGACCCTCCGCGCCAACCGATACCGCTCAGACCTTTCGGGCGCATACCGTTCCCACGAATATTGGAAGTATACAAGCAGCTACACAGGGTAAGACCGTAATAACTCGACACTAGGGAATAGGTAGATTGATACTTCAGTGCTGTTCTCGTATTTTTTGACAACAAGATACTTTTTTTGCCGTCTTTAAGAGGGGGTCTGAAATCTTCAAAAGACATCTCAGTCCAGGACACCGCCTGAATGAGCTTAGTGCAGGATTCATTCTTCGTACTCCCGGCGATAGTTTTCGCGGTACTTTAAAATGTCTTCTCGTCGCCGAGTCTACACCGAACGCCTACCTGCTAAACCAGACTCTCCTCTGTCATCCAGCGATCCGGAAGCAGAATGGCCGTTGTAAGGCCGGCATCACTTCCGAAGCACTACCTTTATTCATTAATTTTCCATTAATACACATCCACACTCTATTTTTTAGCAAAGAGGCTCTCTGTCTCATTCCTGGTAGCGCGTAAAAGACCCTTATCGCTCTAGTACGGCACATTTCCAGACGGGTATTTCCTCCTTCCTCACAATCTGCACTTTTCTTGCTTCAACTTTCAGCATATTTAACTATTAACTTTGCCGTTGGTCCAGCTGTCTTTCTTCCTCTTCCTTTTTCTTGATCACTGCATGGATATAGCTGTGTATGTTAGTCCAACCTGATTTATTTTCAGTCATTTTCTCAATCATTTCTCTCACTGTAACAAAATTCACACCTGTCTCTCTCTTCATTCTGTTCCATCCATCTGCTGCAATCTAACATCGTATGTGCCACAGTGTCCGAGTATCCACAGTATAGGCATTCATCTCTCTCAGCCTTTCCGATCCTAGAGAGGTAGGCCCTAAAACAGCCTGTAAGCACCTACGTCAGAAAGTAATCCAGTCGCCTGTGGCCACAGTCCACCCATCTCTTATGTTCGGGATCAGCATTTTCGTCCACTGTGCCATTTTAGAAAAACCAAATTGCCTCCGAGATAAACCACCTGACCTCTCAATCATGTCGTCTATGTGTACTTGCAGCATCCTTTCATACAGCTTACTGACGCATGGAAGATAGGGCGATACTTTTCTCAGCTTTGGGAAGCAGTATTATACTCGATGTCCTCCAAGGCTCAGGAAAGGTTTGTGTTTCCAGCAGTGCATTCATGTGTTCCAGAAGCCACGCAGGCTCCACTCGCCCTAGACCCTTTACCGCCCCAGGTGGTATCCGAACCAGTCCGGTGGACCTACGAGTCTTGAGTGAACTTAATGCCTCGAAAAGTTCATCCAAGTTCATCATGGCAAAGGATACAGTCTGCTCAGCTGCTGTATCTCTCCATACACCATGCCATCTGCTGTCCGGACAGAGCTCTCGTGTTACCTCAAGTTTCTTGTTCAAAGACATTTCGTCAGGAGGATACGCATGGAACTTCTTCATGATGATCTTATATACCTTACCTCAGATGTCCTCATCCAGCTTTTCACACAGCTCTTTCCAGTGCCATTTTTTCTGTACACATTTGCCTGTACAGTTTCCTCTTCCTTGCGCGGTACTCTTTCTCGATCTTCTCGATGACCTCAGGGTCAATCCCTGCTCTGCTTTTTGCTTTCGTTAACCTTCTTCTCATTGCTATACATTCATTTCTTAGTGCTTCGATGTCAGCATTCCACCAATATGGCATCCTGTTGACATCTTGACGCATAATCTTGCTCCCTTCTATCGCTCCTTTAATAACTCTTTCGCTCTTTTAATAACTCTCTACAGGCTTTCCGCTGTCGACGATTGACCCTGTATTATACTCACTCTCCATTTAATTAGTTTTTCGTATAATTCGGACCGTGTTAGTGGTCCCCGTTCCGGTTATCGAGAACTTGATGTACTGATGTTCAGTTCCGGTGTAGTCTGGCAAAACCTTCCAGCCTCTTGCTCTCGTCGCTATTTCTTGTGTCGCCATGGTCACGTCGATGTACGTACCTGTATCTCTCCTAACAAACGTAGGCTCCAGACCTGTGTTCAGAACCATTGGATAAGATACAACAAGATACTGGTACATCACAAGTGAATGGAGTGGGCAGCTTGGGACCCCGAACTCGAACGAAACCATATCCCTCTTAAATGGATCCATACAATGGACCTATAATGGCTCCAAAATGGGTACTGACACGTCGAGTTTTAAATTCTCAACGCGGTTTTCCCGAGAACTACCCTTTACTTTTAGAATGCGGTATCTCAATAAATTATCAAAGGCCTTAATTATATAAAAAAATTACTCATGAATAACATACATTTTCAATGATGGTCAGTAATTGATTTTTTTTTTTGAAAATCAAATTGTCTATTATTTAACTTTTTTTTTAATATTTTTCACGTAGCTTGCAAATATTATTTGTAAGAAAAATTTGTCGAAAAGAAAATAGTTTTAGACATACTTCTTTAAAATTGTAACTAATATGAATATTAAGACCAAACTACAGGAACGATTATAAAATACAAATAATTATTTTTTATTGGTTTATTTTATAATTTATGTGGTGAATTTCCTAAAACATATTTAAAAAATGCATAAATTCAGATTATAAAATATATCACAAATATACCAATGTTATATAAGTAAATATCCTATTTTTTATCAGACTTTCAGACCCTCCTGACCAGAACGTCGACGACGAGGATTTGCTCTACGAAGAAGTCCTCATGAAGGATGACGGCGGTGCGTCGTCGGATAGTAAGGTAGCTGGTGCAGTGAAGTTGTCACTGAGCGGTAGTCATCTAGGAAATAACAGAATACAGTCTAAGAAGAAGCCGGATGAAGCAGTAGATTCGAGCGAGGAGACAGAACCTGATCTAACGGGAATGTCGGATAAGGTATGATGTTTATATGTATATACTCGGACAGTGGTGGTACTTATGGGATAATATTGAGTTAACCATGTTTTAAAATAGGTAGTATTTATTGATCAGTTATAAGTACCAAATATATGCTCTTTTAGGAAGTGTATTTATAATTTGTTTTAAAACTGCTTTTTTCTTGCATTACTATTAACGTTTTTACATGTTAAATAATTATAAATTTTCTATTAAAAACAAACAGTTTCTGAAAGTTCTAGTATGATTAGAAAACGTTTGTGAGAAAAACTATATATAGTACAGGTTGTTTACAACTGTCGTTGTTTTCCTGTCCCTAGTTTCCATCGTTTCCTATCTCGGGTGTCGGCTTCATTTAGCTGTCTTCCTTCCATGGCTTCATTCACGTCATCTCGCCAGCTTCTTCTTGGACGCCCTCTTTTCCTTCTTTCGGTTGGGATCCATTTTAATATTTTCTTTGGCCACCTCTCGTCTGCCATTCTGTTTACATGACCGAACCAAGTCAGTTGTTTTTTCTCCTGTGAGAAAAATAAAGGATATAAATTTTCAAATAAATTACTACTAAATTAGCAAATACGATTTTGCTGAAAGTAATTTTTACATACAAACTTTACTTTTTGATTTCAGTCCTAGTTCAGGCTTGACAGTTTTAAGTCTATTTTGTTCATCGGCTACCGTTGCTAGTTCTCTGGTAGTTGCAGTCTTGGTTTATCTCTACTCTTATTTCGTACTGATACCGCTATTAGGGTTCATCTAAATGGGTTATTTTCATTTGCTGTTGACACATGTCCAGTTTACATAAGTTTATCCCTAATACGCTATTGATTATGTTTAAAAGAACGAGACTAACAGAAACTATAACGTTAAAGAGGTTTTATTATTTTATACTGTCAATGGACCCCAAATACAAAACAACCGCGAAGTGTTCATTTAAAGAGTTGCGTTTTTAAGAAAGGGGTGAATGTGTTCCTATGCAATAGGGTGACATGAACTACTTAATGGAACGGTACCTATCTGACCCCCCAGTTTTAATTAACCAGCCCTCCCTATCGCAGAATATAACGAATGGCGAGGTTCTTGTACTGCGCGTTACTTTGAATGCCCTAGGTAATGATGGGATATCCTCTGTTCTAGTTTGTGTGGTTAGACCACCTTATTTTAGGGGTAGCTAGACGAGCTTTTCTCCCTATGGCCTATTGAATTTATTATTTAAATTGATTTTAGACATGTGTCTCAAAAGTGTGTTCCGGACATATGTCTGGATTTTTGTGTGCTCGGTGACGTAGCAGCCGAATCTACAAAATAAATTTTGTTCTGCTTGCCAGCTGACTACCCAAAAGGTCTGACCATCGAGCTCACGATTGTTGCACGTGCCTCGATGCTCAGGTTTCGCGGCTGTAGGTCCTTTGACCTGCCTGATGGGTGGTAGCCTAAGGGGCGTCTTTATGTTTATGCCTTAGAATTCACTTGATGTGGCTGCATTGTTAGCATAGCTGCTGTGACAGAGGGTTGTTAGTAAAGATTAAGATAAAAGAATAATAGAAAGAAAGTAGCAATGGGTGGGGTCTGGACTCTCAAGAGTATACGACTATCGTACACCCTATGTATATACTTTTTAATATTTATCTTTAACAGTATAGCATTTTAGTAAACTAAAACATAACTAAATAAAAGAAATAAGATAATACAGAGATTATTTTCTATAGGGCTATGCCAATCCTGGTGGTGGATTTGTGTATCTTCAGATTGAGGGATTTCTTTTTCTAAAAATTCAGACATAATTTAGACATGATGGTAATTAATTACTGGTATATTTTACCTTACAAGTCACCTGATCTGGTCTAATTTTCTTGTGAAACAATTTCTGTGTGCGTTTTATCTGGAATATTGTTTATTATGTTTAAAATGCACATGCTGCGATTTTCATACTTTTCAGCCATTTCAATCTACAAACAAAATATTCATAGAAGAAGGTAGATACATAATATAGAGTACACACAAGAGTGTTGTGACAAAAATAAAAATGTAAAAAAATTAGGCTTTCTAGACAATTATAAAATAAAATTACTTTAAAAGAATAACACGCACAATATTAGAAAACAAACTGAATCTAAACCATAAGTCTGTGCAAAACTGTTTTATTCCAAAATGTACTTTTATTCCTCAACGAAAATAATGCAATTTTAAGGCAAAGTATATTAAGAAAAACATTACATTTTAAAATAAAATACAATTTAATCGACGTTTCTATTCAAAAGCGTTGCAAGTCGAAATGTTCATTTTTTTTCATAACCTAACAAAATTATTTCATGTTTTTCTTTATGCAAGTATTAATAATATTTTGAAATGTAACACTCTTGTAGATAAATACAGCTGTCAACTGTCATGACAGTTACTGTCATCGTTCAAACGTGATTATAGCGTCAATTCTTCTTCTTCTCGTACGAAATTCTTTAAACTTGAAGTTAGCGTAAATTCTTCTTCTTTTCGTATGACATCATACATATTAAACATATAAATATTAAATTGAGATTAAAACTTGTAAAATGTTTTATCTGGTCTGTTCTTCTCTAAGGAGTCGAAACGTGGACTTTAAAAATAAAGAGCCTGAATAGAATCGAGGCATTTGAAATGTGGGTGTACCGTAGAATTTAAAAAATTCCTTGGACAGCACGAAAAACAAATGAAGAAGTACTAGCTAGATTCAATTTAGAAAAAGAACTATTGAGAACAGTCAAAAGAAGAAAAACCAGTTATTTAGGGCATTTGTTGCGCAACGAGAAATACTACATCCCTCAGTTGATAATAAAAGGCAAAATAGAAGGAAAGCGAGGAATTGGAAGAAAAAAATTGTCCTGGTTACGTAATATCAGAAACTGGACAGGACTTGGATTTGAGGAACTCTTAAGAGCAGCTGAAGATAGACAAACGTTTGCCACCATAACCGCTAACCTCCATTGATGGAGACGGCACTTGAAAAAGAAGAAGAAGTTGGTTTGAACATAATTTATGGCTGGTAAACATTCGTTGGTTAATCTTCGTCATACTTGTATTATATCTGAATATAATTGTAAAATGTTAATTGTTGTAGATAAAATATAGTATGCAACAAATCCAAAAAATAGTCATATGTATATTTAGTATAGTAGTGGATGTGTAGATATGGCCCTTGGCTAATTGTACGTTCAGATGAGATGTGTGTATTAGTGAGCGTTCAGCGGAGACTCTTGTAGAATTGTACGTTCAATGGAGATTTGTGTATAATAGTGTTTGTTCAGATGTGGCTTGTAGAGAACGTTTAGGTCCTTGTCAGTTTGTGATTATCCAACTTATATTTATGTCAAGTAATAATCGTTAGTTGTTTGGTCATACTGGAAGAATGGTATACATACTTTGGTTAGGCCTTGTCCTAATTAGAATATATCTGAATATCATTGTAAAATGGTAATTGTTGTAGATAAAATATAGTATGCCACAAAACGATATCGTATATCAATAATTATATTGGTGAGTTGTGTATAGTAGTTATCGTTCGGAGGATACTTGTAATGACTGCTCAGATGAGATTTATATTTATGTATAGTAGTTGATGACCTAGATTTTCCTCGTCTTTCCTGTGGTGTCCTATGTAATACTTTTTGTTATTCTGTTGTCGCTTATTCTTTGGACGTGTCCATACCATCGTAGGTGTGATGTCCTGCGTTATTCTGTGTTTAACGCACATAATTTCTTATGATTCTTTCATTTCTTACTCTGACAAATTTTGTTTTTTCCATTAGGGATTGTTCTGTCCCAGCTTGCGTCTGGTGTACCTCTGCTATACGTCTGATATGAGTTAGATCGCGTCTGCTATATATCTGATATGAGTAAGATTGGTTGTGCTATACGTCTGCTATGCATTAGATTGCGTCTGCTATACGTCTCATATGCGTTAGATATACGTCTGCTATCCATCTTATATGCATTAGATTGCGTCAGGTATACGTCTGCTATATGTTAGATCGCGTTAGATATCTGCTAGCTAATGATTAAGCATTGAAACTACTTTTTAAGTATATTAATATAGCGTGGTTGTCGTTTTGGCGATGTCTTTGCGTTTGTTTTTGTGATATCATGTTATTTGACTAATAACAACAGAGAAACGATATAGTGCTGTTTTTGCATTTTCTTTGGGTTTAATTTTTATTTTAACATATTCGTTACCACCTACCCTTTCCATCGATAACTTGCACACTGTTGAACGTTGAGCCGTTTAGACGTTACAAGCTTATTGTCCTTTTGGTAATACGCCGCCATGTTTTTTTTTCTATGTCTACGTACTCATTGACTCCTGCCCTTTCCATCGATATCTTACACGTTGTTGTGCGTTAAGTCGTTTAGACGTTATAAGCTTATTGTACGTTTGGCAATGCCGTCATCTTTGGTTTTTCTGTGTCTACGTATTTATTGGCTCCTCCCCTTTACATTGATACATTGATTTAAAAATATTGCGTTTGCAATTTTCTAAGGCTTCACTAAATATTTCATCTGAATATAGATTCAATAATATAGGTGAAAGTATACATCCTTATCTAACGCCTCGCAGAATCTGGACCGATTCCGTCGGTTCATCTCTAAGATTTGTTCTTGTTATAGCTGATTCGTTCCAGTATAAATTTTGTATTATACGCCGGTCTTTATCATCTATTTGGGCTTTTGTTCAAACATACATAATTTTTCAGCATTGAACTGTGTCAAATGTTTTTTAGTAGTCTAAAAAGCAGGTGTAGATATCGCAAGTCATATCTATGCATCTTTGGAATAATACCTGTAGACTAAACAGTGCATCTCTCGAACCTACGCCTTTCAGGAATACAAACTGTGTGTCTTGTATTCTCTCTTTGCATAGCTTGTATATATTGTCCTTTATACAAATATAAAAAATAAAATAAAACATCACTACTCGCCTCAAAAAGGACATCTGTTCAACGACAGCTTCAAAATAATTAGAATGTAAAATTACTAAT